GGTAAGGCATATATATCTGAACTAGGACATCTTTGAGAGTCATGGGGCACCACTAGAAATAATTATGCCAGGATAACCAGTGTTATACCTCAGAAAACTCTATCTTCTTGACTATGATAACCTAGAAATAGCACATGCATAGAAGTTGTACACAGTGATGATTTCTCTGTGTCATATACATGCACACATCTATTCAGGGTTGGAGGAAAATGCCAATTCTTGTTTGATGACACCTCTTTTGTTCTGCCTTGAAGATGTCTCCACTTTGCTTCTCTGTGCCTATTCTCCTATGTTCCTGAAGCTTACTACCCATCTGGCAAAGACTGACTGGTGAATACCCAGATAAAAACAATCCTTGATACTGGGCATGGGTTTTAAAAACAAAAGACTGAAGCAACTTTATGGAGTTAAAAACTTAAGATACTTTTCTCTGAAGAGAAGCCAATGTTGCAGGGAGAATGTAATTTATCTTCAGTTGTAATGATGAAGCTTATAGCTGTAATTATGCCTATGTCTCAAGTTTTGCCTCATATATTTGTTCATTTGTCTTATTCTACATCCAGTTGGTTGCAATTTCTGTGTGAAGCTTACCCCATTGGTAAAATCTTCCTCTCATGGGAGTTTAAAGAAAAAAATTCAATATCAATAGCACAATAGCACTGTTCAGAGAGAACCAAGCCAGAAGTATTCCCTAGTTACCACCCCATTGGGGTAATACTGGTATATAATTTCCTTTTAAACAATGTTCCAGAACTTGCCCCCAAATCCCAAAGGATGCTTCTGTGAAACTTCTGGAACAGTTTACATAGTTAAGCCCCATGAGTAAGGTATAGTTTGAGAAAGATGCCACTCTTTCCCTTAAATCAGAAATTACCTCAGTTTCCCAAGGCTGAAGTTCAGCTGCAGTCCTTTTAGTATCCTTCTTTTTTCTTTTAATATTTTGCATTCCATTTTTTCAAGGCAGATTCTCAAGTGACACTGTACCCCTCTAGTGCCCCAGTGACTTTCAAAAATATGTTGTTTTCCCACACAACCTGTGTGAAATCTTGACCTTCTTCTTGTACTCCCTTATTTTCCTATATTACACAAGTGACCTTGAAATGGAGGCACTGGTCTCAGGAGGGTTGAGGTCTTGAGGAATCTAGCCATGGAATGCACTGGCTCATGGACTGTTCCCTGGGGCCTTGGGTGATGCTGTTTTGAATTTCCTGCTTTCTTTCCTTTGCAGCTGAGTACATGTCTGTATTTGCAAGTTGCACACCTTGAACACAGCTAGAGGCAAGGCTGGAGACAACAAATGCAAAGAATTTGTTTCTCTGGAGAAAGGAAGTCTGGTTAAAAGTATTTGTCTGGTTTTCCAAATACATAGTTATTCCCTTTTCTTATTGAAAATTTTTACTCTCCCCTCTCATAAAAGCCATACATGAAACCAGCCACAGCAAGGGCATTAAAATAACTCATCCTTTGGAGAAGCCTATTAAAATGAAGAATCCTAATTAGAGACTTTTGCCTGACTCCTAAATCCTTAGTTAGTGTGAATCTACTTTCCTCTATTTTAAGTGTGAATGCCTAGCTTTGGTTAGGGTGAAAGAATTAACACCAGTAGACTTTGGAGTACACAGAGCTCTTTAAGACTCTGAGAAGCTAGACTGAGAAATGGCTAAGAGCCCTGACTCTGAGTTGTCAGTTTGAGTTTGACTTCCTCGACTTCACCTACTGGACTTCTGACATGTTGCCCATATTTTACTTTTTTCATCTATGCAATCAGGATAATGAAAACGTAATTCACGTGGTTGTTATGAAGGTTAAATGAAATGAAGGCATAAAGCCCAGTATCTGGCACTATAAAGTGATAAATAGAAGGTATGTTTCTCATTTATCACACGATGAGGACAGATGTGTGGAGTGACCTTGCCACCCGGCCCAGCTCATTACATTCTGCAGCGTCTCCTTTCTCAGTGCTGCGGACAGCCAACGTTCACATTGCAATTCAAATGGAATCTCTTGGAAGTTTGAGGATTATTAAATGACTAGCTTGTTTTGTTCTTCCCTAACACTTTCTGTTTTTCAGAGAGTATGGATACAGTTTTTGGTTCATTATTAAACAGACGTGCCCTCCAACAAAAGCAGGAGAAAGACTACAGACACAGATACATAAATCGACTGAACATTGATGTTTATTAGCAAGGAGCTTGCATATTTCTTCTCAGGGAAATCTCATACAACTTTGATTTATTACAATACATTCTTATATAATTCTGTTCAACTTTATAACAATAATAGCTGGCACAGGATGTTACCTGCCAGACATTGTGCTAAATGCTTTGTGAGGAGTGTGTCCTCTGTTCCTTATTACATCACCTTATCAGTGAATGAGAAAAGAGAATTAAAAAAACGGGGTCAAGACACACAACCAGAAAGTGGCAGAGCTGCCATCTGGGAACTTGGCCTTGGAATACTCACACTGCTGACAAGGCTGCTGTGTCCCTCTACCTAGATGCTGCAATTTATGCAGAACACCTGCTTTCAATTGAGAGTCTAGATTTTTGGTTGTGGTTAGACATTGATGGCTTTGTGATTTGTCTTTATAAACATTGGGACCTGAGTCTTATTCAGGCCTCACCAAGAAGAGACACTCCACACTGTAATTTAAAGGAGGAGGGTCAACTTTTTGAGGACCCATAGGACATTTAAAGAAGACTGTACATAGAAGCCTCCAGACTGGCTGCCATATTTCCCTCTTACAGATCAGGCATGTGACTTTGCTGTAATTGTAGCCATGAGTATCATCCTACATGGAAAAGCAGGAATTCCAGGGAAGCTGTGTATAGGAAATTATCACAAAGCCACTGAAGTAAGTGCTGTCTGAAGTGCCCTATGCTTTTGAAAGCACTACAGAAGGGATGTGCTTTGGGAAGCTTTCTTTGGCATTGGTTGGCAGACCCTAAGTTGTCCTTCAGTGTCAGGTTCCTCAGGTAGAAGGGGATTTACAAAAGGAAGGCAACACAATTTGGGAATAGGAGGTCTTACACAAGCTTCTTAAGAAATAACAGTATCCAGTGACCTACAAGACTGACTCCAACTAACAATTTGAGCAACAGTGGAAAGGCTACCATAAATGCCCTTCTCTGATAATGAGATCAACTATGAACTTATCCACCATCATGGGGCCCTCATCTAGTAGCTGATGGAAACAGAAGCAAACACCCACAACTAAACACTGAGCCAAACTAGAATCCAGATGCAGAGAGGGAGGGCAAGACCATGCTGCAAAAACAATAGAGACAGCTGACCTGAACAAGGAGGAGCTAATGGGCCCCCAGACTGATAGCTGGGGATCTAGCATGGAACTGACTCAGACCCCCTGAACATGGGTCTCAGCTAGAAGGCCTGGGCAGTCTAAGGGACCTCAGACAGTGGAACCATGATGTATTCCTGGTGCACAAAAGGACCTTGCTGGCACATCCCCCATGGAGGGATACTCCCTTAACCTAGGGACTAGAGTCCTAGTTCCTACTTCAAATGACTTGACAGATTTAGATGATCCCTCCTGGATGGCATCACCTTACATGTAGAGTGGGGGGGGGGAGAAAGGGAGGGAGGGAGAAGGAACTAGGATTGATAGGTAAAATAAAAATTAAAAAAATAAGAAATAACAGTGTCTTCTATGCACTTTGTAAGGCAAAAATGGGACAGAGTCAGCAGAAAGAAGAATGAAGTCAACTGGAAGCTAACCAAGCAATACTGTACAAATGGAGTGCAGTATATCTCAAGTGGGCCATGGAACCTGTGCTCAGTGGCCTTGAGACTAATAACCACAGCTGTCCAAGGTGAAAGAGCTGAATTCCCAGCTCTCTCAAGGCCCTTGGCTTTGCCAAGCATGTTTCTGGATTTAGACAAGGAATTACATTTCCTCACCATGTTTTGGGGCCTCAGGGAAGCCTTGGATTGGCCTGCCTCCCAAAAATTGGTGAGTATGGCTGAAGCTGGATCCCAGTGCTTCTTTACTCACTCTGGGTCTGGGCCTGGGCAGGTGTAGGGTTGGTCTGTTAGATGAGAAATAGGGACAACTTACCCATGTTTACAACTTCTGCTGCCCACCCCCCATACCTGTGCTAAGAGAGGTGGCTCTCTTGCTCTTATGACCACAGGCCAGTTCTCTTACCTGCCCCAGGCACTGATGGGCAGTAGGGGGCAGAGGGTAACCCTCCCCCGCCCATGCTGCCACAATACAGATGGGTAATGGGGACAGCTCTCCCATGCTCACAGTTTTGGGACTGGCTCACCCGTACCTGTGCTAAAAGGGTTAGCTCTGTTGTACTGCCCCGGTGAGGTGCACGGCCTGCCCTCCTGAGTGCAGCAACTGGTGGGGGTCAGAGAAAAATCTATTTTCAATAAAAGGAAAAGAAGGAATTTAGTAATGTTCTTTCTGTTTCTTTCTTTTATGGAACAACTAGAAGAATGTTAGCCTTAATTATTTTGTTAAAGTCTGATAGAATTCTATGCTGAACCATCTGGCCTTGGGCTGTTTTTGGTTGGGAGACTTAATGACTGCTTCTATTTCTTTAGGGGTTAGTAGGTCTGTTTAAATTGCTTAGATGATCTTGATTTAGCTTTCACAGGTGGTACATACTGAGAAATTTCCAATTTCTTCTATATTTTCTAATTTGGTGGAGTTCCCCAGTGTCTGTTGTTATGCCCCCCTTCATTTCTGATTTTGTTAACATGAATATTTTCTCTTCCCCTTTTAATTAAATGATTAAGGGTTTATTAATCTTTTTTCCCCCCACAAGACAGGGTTTCTTTGTATTGCTTTGGAGCTTGTCCTGGAACTAGCTCTGTAGACCAGGCTGGGCTTGAACTCACAGAGATCCGCCTGCCTCTGCTTCCTGAGTGCTGGGACTAAAGGCATGCACCACCAATGCCCAGGTTTAATTATATTGTTAAATACTGGTAGAATTCTTTTTTTTTTTTTTTTTGAAAATGTTAGCATTTAATTAACCTCCCTGTGTGGTTCAAGCCACCAGGACACAAGCACCTCCAACACCCTTTATCCTCTCTTCAGCTCTTCTGCTGAAAAATTTGGCTTTCACAATGACAGGTTGCTTAGGGAGCTTCCCCTTCCCCAGAACTTTGTAGTAGCCCGATCGCACAACATCAATGATGGGAGCAGCTCCAGTCTTGTTCTTGGCAGCATTGACCCTAGTCTGCTCACTGACCAGTGTCCACAACTTATCCAGGTTGACTGTTGGGCAGAAGCTCTGGTTCCTCTTTAAGTGGTAATGCCTCATACCAACTTTCCCAAAGTAACCTGGATGGTATTTGTCGAAGTTGATCCTGTGGTGATGCATGCCTCCAGCATTCCTGCGGCCTCCTGGGTGCTTGCAGTGTTTACCAATGCGACCATGGCCATGGCTCACGTGGCCCCAGAGTTTCCGGGTCTTCCTTAGTCTGGATGGCAAGGCGGCGGCAGAAAGGAAAGCATACTGGTAGAATTCTATACTGAATTCATCTGGCCCTGGGCTGTGTGTGTGTGTGTGTGTGTGTGTGTGTGTGTGTTTTGTTTTGTTTTGACAGGATTTCTTTGTGTAGCCCTGGCCTGGAACTAGCTCTGTAGACCAGATAAGCCTTGAACTCACAGAGATCCACCTATCTCCTGAGTGTTGGGATTAAAGGCATGTGCTACCACTGCCTAGCACCCTGGGATGTTTTTGATTGGGAAACTTATTTATTTATTTATTTATTTATTTATTTATTTAATATAATCAAGTCCATTTAAATGAAAACAAACATTTATAGACAATATTTGGGAATTTGGGCGTCGTTCTTTCCAAACTACTTCCTGCTGGTGAGGGGAACTGTCATGGGGATTCTAAGAAGATTCAGAAATCCTGGCTGTAGTCTATAAGGATGCTTATTCCAGCTGTTTTGAATGTAGGATCACCAGGTACTCTGTTTCAGGTGGTCTGGCTTGATCAAACCACATTAGTCTGGAAGGAATCCATATCTTTTCATTTTCTGTGGAAACAAAAATAGAAATCCTTTTCCCCAGTAACTTGTCCTTGAACTTAAATTTTGGAGTCAAAGCATTTTTTTATTTAATTTATTATTTTACATGTCGATCCCAGTTCCCTCTCCCTCCCTCCCTCCCTTTTACCCTCTCTGCCCTCTCACATGCACCCTCCCCTCCCATCCCCCCACGCCAATTCCATATGTAGGGAAATGCCATCCAGTTGGGGTCATGTATGTCTGACAGGTCATGTGAAGTAGGGACTAGGGCTTCTCTCCTGTCTCTAGGTAAAGGCAGTTATCCCTCCATGGGGGATGTGTTCTCAAGGTCCTTTTGTGTACCAGGGATACATCCTGGCTCCACTGTCTGAGGTCCCTTAGACTGCTCAGTCCTTCTGGCTGAGACCCATATTCAGGGGAGTCTGAGTCAGGCCCATGCTGGCTTCCCAGCTATCAGTCTGGTGGCCCGTTAGCTCCTCCTTGTTCAGGTAAGCTGTCTCTATGTGTTTCTGCCACCTGGTCTTGTCCTCTCCATCTGCATCTGGGTTCTACTTCGACTCAGTGTTTATGTATGGGTGTTTGCTCCTGTTTCCAACAGGCATTAGTTGAGGGCTCCATGGATAAGTTAGTTGTTGATCTCATTATCCGGAAAGGGCATTTATGGTAGCCTTTCCACAAAAGCTCAAATTGTTATTTGGCAGCAGTCTTGTAGTTCTCTAGACCTTTCTTTGTGTTCAATTTTATCTTCAAACCAATATTGGCTCCCTGGTTTATGTTCTCTCTCTCTCTCTCTCTCTCTCTCTCTCTCTCTCTCTCTCTCTCTCTCTCTCTCTCTCTGTCTCTCTCTCTCTCTCCCCTGTCTTCTATTCCTAACCAGGCTCAATCTTCCTGGTCGCACATGTTTTCCTTTCCTCCAGGTTGGGAGACTTTTTAATGACTGCTTCTATTTCCTTAGGGGTTAGTAGTTCTGTTTAAATTGAGTATATGATCTTGACTTAGCTTTGGCAGGTGATATGTATTGAGAAATTACCAATTTCTTCTATATTTTCTAATTTGGTAGAGTACATGTCTTTGTGCTTATTTGGATTTCCTCAGTGTCTGTTGTTATGCTCCATTTCATTTCTGATTGTGTTAATATGAATATTTTCTCTCCTTTTACTTAAATGGCTAAGGGTTTAACAATCTTATAAATTTTCTCAGAGAACTAACTCTTTGTTTTATTGATTCTTTACATTAAGCCTTTTGTTTGTTAGTTCCCGTTTCATTGATTTCAATCATTAATTTGATTATATATTTGTTTCTACTCCCTTTGGGTGCTATTTCTTCTTTTTGGTCTAGAGCTTTCAAGTGTGCTGTTCAGTTACTAGTGTGAGATCTTTCCAATTCTCTCTCTCTCTCTCTCTCTCTCTCTCTCTCTCTCTTTTTCCTTTCTTTTTTTTTAAACATAGGCACTTGGTTCTATGAACTTGCATTGTAGAACTCTTCATTTTGTTCCATATGTTTGGATGTGCTGAGTTTTCATTTTTATTCACTTTTAGAAAGTTTTAAATTCCTGTCTTAATTTTTGTCCTAGTCCTACTTTTTTCACTCAGTAGTGAGTTGTTTAGTTTCCATGAGTCTGTAAATTTCCATTGTTGTTGATATCCAAGTTTAATCTGTGGTGGTCAGGTAGGATGCAGGATGGGGTTTTAATTTTCTTCCATCTGTTGAGAATTGCTTTGTGTCCAAGTATATGGTCGATTTTGGAGAAGTTTCATGAGCTGCTGAGAAGAAGGTATATTCTTTTCTATTTTGGAGAAGTATTCTGTAAATATCTTTTGGTTCACTTGGTTTATGACATCATTTAGCCCCAGCAGTTTTCTATTTAGATTTTGTCTGATGACTTGTCTATGGTGAGACTGTGATATGGAAGTCACCCATTATCACCATGTGAGTGTCAGTAATTTAACTGCAGTAGTGTTTCTTTTAGGAGCTTGTGTGTCCTTGTGTTTTGTGTATAAATGTTTATAATTGTAATATCCTTTGCCACCCAACGCAGCAGCATGGTGGAAGCACTCACCAGTAAAGAGTGAACTAGAGCAGGCTGAAGCAGCCATGCTTTTCCCTTGGACCTCTTTGTTTCTGGGCTGTCCTGGAAGACAATGCTCAACCTAGGGGAAGAGACTGTTTCCTGGTTACTATGCTAGCAATTCCAATCACTAATAAACTACTTTCATTTCATGGTAGTGGGGACAGCTTTGAGAACTATTTTAGTAAACATTCCCAAGATGTAGAGGCACAAGCCCAAAGAGAGCAATTTCCCCAAGAAGTTATAAAGAAATGGCATTTGATTTTCTCCAGGTCTGCTAGGGCCTGGGTGCTGTCTCAGAAAACACACTTCCAGATACGTGCCATGCTCTTCCTTAGCACCTTTCTAGGCATCACACAACTAGTACAGAAAGTAATTATTCTGTTTGCCATCATTTGGTCAAAGGGATAAGGTTTATTAAGCCATCTGGATTTATTCAGTCTTCTTATAAAAGGACACAAACATACTTTAAACTAAGCTCCCAAATGTTGAAGCTGGATACCTACAGAAAAAAAGACACAAAACGTAAGTGTAAAAAATAATTAGCAGTTAGAGGGAAGTGTGCTACATCCTTGGTTGAGCAACTGTTCTGAGTTGGAACTAAATTAATGACCATATTCCCGTAAGCCCTGGTTTATTTCCAGTTTGTCCTGACTGTTGGGTTGGCTTAATGTGTTCTCTCTGTAAATGTATCTTTTCTTTTTTCCTTATTTTTAAATCACAGTGTGAGTTCCAATTTCAAAGCTATTGACACTATTTCATGGGGAGAACAAAAGCTCTCTGTAGTGAGATTAGTAGCAAATTATTGTAATGGTTTTTCAAATTACCATTATATCAGAAAATCATTACTTGTCTTATCCTGTTGAGTAAATATTGAATGAGTTACAGCAAGCCCATCTACACCTCCTAAAGCTCCATGTCAGATTCTTTCACTGTATCGTCCTTATTTTGGAGGCAGGGTACTTGTGGTGCATGTTCTCTGGGACTAGTTACTTGTTTTCTTTATTCTCTTCATATTGGCTGGCATTTAAGGTATTTAACAGACATTCTAAACACATATTCTTTCAATTGGAAAATATTTGCAAACATACACATGGAGACAAAGAGACAAGAGGCAGGAGAGAGGGGAAGAGGAGAGAGAGTGTGACAGAGAGAGAAGAGACAGAGAGAGGAGAAGAGAAAGGGGGAGAGGGTAGAAGGCATGGGGAGAGCTCTGGCTTCCAAAACAGTTAAAAGAATGAAGTTTTGATAACCTGTGTGTGAAAAAATTTCACTATAAAAGAAGTAACATCCTCATACAGATGTCTATATTTTACTCTGGGATATCACTGCTCAATTACTTATGTATGTTTAGTAGCAAGGATGAAATCATTTACTCACAACTTCATACAGAGTAGCAAGTCATAAGATAGTTTTAGGTTTCCAGTTTAGAGACATTAGATGGAAGATAAGATTAAGATACTTCCACAAGAAAGAAATTAAAGAAGATACCAGAAAATGGAAAGATCTCCCATGCTCTTGGATAGTTAGGATAAACATAGTAAAAAATGGCAATCTTGCCAAAAGCAATCTACAGATTCAATGCAATCCCCATTAAAATCCCCACCACAATTCTTCACCGGCCTTGAAAGGATAATAATCAACTTTATATGGAAAAACAAAAGGCCCTGGATAGCCAAAACAACCTTATACAATAAAAGAACTTCAGGAGGCATCACCATTCCTGACTTTAAGCTCTACTACAGAGCTATCGTTCTGAAAACAGCCTAGTATTGGCATAAAAATAGACAGGTAGACCAATGGAATTGAATTGAAAATCCTGATATTAACTCACACACCTATGAACACCTTATTTTCGACAAAACAGCTAAAATTATACAATGGGGTGAAGGCAGCATCTTCAACAAATGGTACTGGCACAATTGGATGAAGGTGTGTAGAAAACTGCAGATAGACCCATGTCTGTCGCCATGCACAAAACTCAAGTCCAAATAGATCAAAGATCTCAACATCAATCCAGCCTCACTGAACCTCTTAGAAGAGAAAGTAGGAGGTACTCTTGAACAAATTGGTGTAGGAGACTGCTTCCTGAACATAACTCCAGGGTCACAGACACTGAAAGAAACAATTAATAAATGGGACCTCTTCAAATTTAGAAGCTTCTGTAAGGCAAAGGACACAGTTGACAAGACCAAATGGCAGCCCACAGACTGGGAAGAGATTTTCACCAATCCTATATCTGACAAAGGGCTGACCTTCAAAATATACAAAGAACTCAAGAAACTAGTCAACACAACACCAAATAACCCTATTAAAAAATGGGTTACAGAACTGAAGAAAGAATTCTCAATAGAGGAAATCAAAAAGGCTGAAAGACACTTAAGAAAGTTCTCCACATCCTTAGCTATA